GCATACTATCATTTAATTTATATATATATTTTTTGGTATATTATACACTTCATGTTCAAAGTCATTGCTCCGAATAATCCAGATTTGAACCGGATAGCTCGACACTGTCATATTTGGCTTGCTATGTTAACATGGCATAACGTTAATATTCATTTGAACAAAAATCAATATAACTTTTAAGTTTAAACCGAAAAAAGTAAAAAATCGATAGAACTTCTCAACATATATGAACAAATCCTTGGCTCGTTTTATTCAGTTTTCCAGCCCAAAGGAAACACTAAAATGATCCATCCCAAAAGATCTTTTAACCCAAACTAATCTTGACTCCACAGGAGTTCCTAACCCAAGAAGTCTAAGCCCAAAGAAGTAACAAAAAGATAGACTTTATGTTTTTTTCTAGTTTAGTAGTTGATGTAATTAATAGCGTGATAAGAATTCTATTGGAGGAGGTTAGATCAAATTTACTTTCCAAAAAGAAAAAAAAAAGCAAAAAAAATCTGGTCAGCCGTAGTTGACTGGATGAAAGTTCACCTAAGGTGCGTCCAGCTGAGATTATAATTTTGCACAATTTTAAGTGATTTTATGTTTCAAAATAATTATTCAATTTTACCTTTTACACGATGTCACCGAATTTTTCCAACCAAGTAATTTCTTAAACGTTATAGAAGATTAGGCTTTAGGGTTGCTTTTTCTTTTAAGAAGAAAAGAAAATTTTAATCAAAGGCATTAGAAAGATTATAATTATTAGGGCATGGGATTTATTTACTTTCTATCAACATTATTAAGACAAATAAAATATACCTGGACTCCAAAAGAAATTATAAAAATCTTTCTTTGTCATCACAATAAAATTATGCACAAAATCGGCAACTGTAACAATCTTATTCGAGTTGGATCAAACTCCAAAAAATATAGAGAGGTAGAATCTCGCTAAAAACCTATTTTTCATTAATTTATTCTTCTTCTCAAAGTACAGGTTTACAACATATAAAAATAGATTACAGCACTAAAATTAAAGAGTTATAACTCCTCTAAACTATCCACCGCATTAAAATACAATGTGACTAACTCTTATTAAATAACTACCCACTAATTAAAATACAGTAAAATATGACTAAATAATGTAACTCATTCCTATATTTACCTTATTAATAATGTTGGCATTACAATAACCATAAATGCTTGGACTCCCAACCGATCAAACATTTCATATAGATTCTTATCTTCATCCAATCTGATTGGCCTTTGAATTTGATGGATCTGTGTAAAATACTGTAAATAAGTGATCGTATGCATTGAATGATCAATTTTTCGTGTTTTTGAACATTTTCTTTGATCAAATTGTGGTATTGATTAATTCTTAGTTGGAAGCTTCCTCAAAGTGGATGGTTCTTTTCGTTTATTATTCTAGTTTTTTAAATAATAATCTCGATACCAAAAGCTACTTTTCGAAGTTTATTCTATGCTCAATTTTTTCTAGCTACTCTTTCATATTGGGACCATTAATTTAAATAACCTTCTGAAAATGTTGTGCTTTTGAAATCATTGGAGAGTGATGAAGCTGATCTCTATTGCGTCTGCAGCTGACTGGTGACGAAGAGAAAATGTATCCCTCAACCCTTAGGAATGATGCCTTTTGCTAATTAAAAGTCCTTTTTATAAGGGAAAAAAACCTTTAATTAAATAAATTAAAAAATACGATAAAGAGAAGCTTAAACAATATTTCTCATGCTTACCAATCTTGGGATCTAAATCTAATCGAGAATGTGGCCAGCCTTCAATATTTGCTTTTTGTAATGATTGATTATGGAGAATATTGACTTCCAAATCACGTTGGGAAAGATTTTACAGGGAATCGAGTTTGAATTAATAAAAACTCACACAGTAAAAGTCATCCTAAAAGATGTTTTTGCTTCAGAAATCGGTACATATATAATGCGCGTAGAATAACACTTACGCGAGATGTTGGTTCAAAAAAAGAAAGTTAATTGACCAACACTTCCCTTACCTACATGTCTGAATAATTTTATTCATTTAGTTTGAAGAATTCTCCTGAGAATTTAAACAACAATTAATTTAAATGTCACATGTGTTCACTGATCAAGTGGAAATGTTAAATGCACTGAGCAAAAGATATACACACGTAAATACAAGTAAATGGCTTTATTTTATTTTTTTTGAACCGGGCAAAATTATAATATTGTTCTATCCGTATTAAAATAATTATTCAATATAAATTCCAATTATATAGAGTATAAACCGTGTATATCTATAGTAAACACATACAAATTGTACTCAATGTTAAAATTTGAATTCAATAATTATTTTGAAATAGAAAAAAATGTCTAGTACGTTGTTGGTGGAAGAAGAAACGTAAAGAAGATGAAAGGCAACATCAAAAATAAATGAGAGGATGACTTTTCTTGGGTCACGTTGAACAGGGTTAAACCCATCATCACGTTTACCATGCTTTCCTCTGTGCGTTTTGCATGCATGCGCCGCTGCTTACTCTTCCTTTTTCTTTCCCACACTAATTTCCCCCAAAAATTGAATCAAAATTCGAAGCTCAAAAGTGCCTTAATTATTTGGACTAACTTTATTTCACATTTTCACGCGATGCTTCCCCCAAAAAGTGTCTTGCTTAATGCTTTTAGCTCATCATGATCGATCTAATCCTGCAAGAGTCCTCTAGTTTTGGTCTAAATAAACATAACTCCATAGATCATCGTTTTTCAAAGATTTTGTATTTAACTGTTATTATTGAAAAGTACAAACGGTAAGACCTGTGTATAAATTCTTTAAGTTATTCCACTAATTACCAATTAATTAATTTTCAAATGGGAGTTTAAATCACTTTAGCAATTACCAAATGATTTAATGTTCCAACGTTAAAGTTAATGGAGTAACTTTTTTTTTTTTTTTGTTTCAAATGAATAAATAAGATGCTTAACATATCATGCGTTTAGGTTTTAAAACAGAGTTTTTGCTAATGAATCTCTTTGTTACTCTCTCCATCCCAAAAATATAGTGCACAATGAATTTTGAGATTTATTCTAATAATTGTATAAATTCAAAAACTCAATATAGACTTCTTTTTCTTCTTTTTTTTTTTTTGAGATAGAGGTAATATAAATTATTTTTTGAAGGCTTTCCTTAGTCCTTTTAATAAGGCATTGTATGTCTTTTAAAATTCGTTTTGCTATTGGTAGTGTACTTCCAACTTTTAGTGTTAATAATATAAGTAGTTCACAAAAAAAAAAAGAAGCTTAACTACTTTCTTTAATTTTGCCAAATAAATTACTTGTATGATCGGAGAGAATAATTTTTTTTTTCCAGAATTATGAGAGGCCTAGAGCCAGCACTGGAATTTCATTGAATTTGATTGTGAAGGACCAAAGGTCTCTCAAGTTCTAATAACCATTTGTCCATGCACAAATTAAAACCATGATAACTGCTTCTCCTCCTAGTGAAACAGTACAATTTGTTACACGGTTAACAAAATTATTGCAATAAAGGTCGAGCTGAGTGGATTCAGATGAGTCAACAACCAAAATCTCTTGATCAATTATAAAAATGATTTTCCCATACCAGTGGATGATTCCTCATAATTAGGTGGATCGACGTCATATATTTCATGATTTTTTTTTTTATTCTCTTAAAACAAATACTCATTGGCTCGTAGCCACAATGTCATGTCTCATGAGTTAAAGTAGTAATAAATATCAGAGTTGCGAATCAAGAACTAAACAACTATTATTAGCACAAAAACAGAATATTACGTACTGATTTGGGGCTTTACTTAATTCAGTGCCGACAATGTTTGTGGTTTAGTGCTTTGATTAAACTACTTTAAAAGTTAGTTCTGATAAGTGCAAGGAATTTCGCTTTGATCGAATTCTTCCTCCACATTATTTTACTTTTTTATTTTTCTACATTATAGAATTTGTTGTGGATAGTATTTACGCAATTAATAATATACTCGTTCCATTCTAAAACAATTGTGTTTTAATAAATTTCGCACTTTTAATGAGCACGTGATTATGTTATGTAAATTACTAAATTATCTTTGATATATTCCTTCAACAAAACCATCTATACATCATTGTTGTTTTGACAAAGATTATTTATATAAAGATAATAAAGAAGCTCACTTATATATTTTTGAAATTTTTTCAATGTCCTCAAATGAATGGAGGGAATATTAATCGATACTGAAAGTTAGTCTTGACATAATTCGGATTACGGGTTTTCTGTAGTTATTTTGTTTCTTTTTGAACTATTCATTCTCGTCTTTATTATAAGTCATTTTGATTTATACTATATTTCACCTAATATGTTTTTTAAATTGGAAAAAACCTTAAAATTATGTTTTTATATTCATCGTATTCTTTTAATTATTAAAAAATATTTTTAATGTTTTTCTTTCAATTGAAAAAACATATTAGGTAAAACTTTATAATAAGGACGGGAAGGGCAGATTATATCCGTTAAAAGTATAAGAATGTTGCACTGAGAATTTCCTAACAAATCCAATTTTTGTATATCTCCTCAAAGTGAAATGATATATATAGTGAATAAAAATAGTGACAAAATATAGTGACTGATGTGGAATTAATCATGGCCTCTAGTTTTTTGTCACTTTACCGTTGAAGTTTTAATTTTTCCCAAAAATTATATTTTACCCTTAATTAATAACTAGACATGTTTAGTAAATTTGTGGTATATTTGTCTTTTCATTTGTCACTATCCAAATTTACTATAATTTTTCACTATCTATATCATCCTCCTCAAATCAATTTTAACTTCAATGTGTTTTTACAATTGACTATGGTCATTTATTATCGAAACCGACAACTAACGGTTTTGAAGTATAATAATAATCTTGAATTATTAACCAAGAAAAACAAAGAGAGAGAGAGATAGAAAGTGATAAGTATGATATTGGAGGAGGGTAAATTAAATTTCTTTTCCAAAAAAAAAAAAAAAAAAGCAAAAAAAATCTGGTGAACCGTAGTTGACTGGATGAAAAAGGAGTAGTAAATGTAAATTAATTGGATTAAGAGAAAATATCGTTATTACATAAAAGCTGGCAATAAATTCAAACGGCAGATGTAATTAACACGGCGTGATTGATTATTAAAGAGGAAAAGCTATTAGCTTTTTTCGCCCCTTTTCCTATTCATTAACTGAGTTGGAGAAAGTTGACTAGTTCTGTTCTCTATATATAAAACACAACTCGACTAACCTACGGATTTCACTCCTGAATCTCGTTCCTTTAAAATCCCATGTTTCATGATTATGTTCGTTCCACGATTCTGACAATCTAGTGGAACGTATTGGGGTTTTTTGTTTGTTGGGGTGGTTTTAGTTTTAATGAAAAATAATCATGCCTCTTTCATCGTGGAAGAAGAAGGTGAAGAAGAACAACAATAATATTTCTCAATTCTTCAGAGATCAAATACAATCGTCCCAAAGGGTTGTTGTGGAAACGGGTTTTCCGACCATCCTCGTCGATTTGATTGTTAAAAATCGTCGTCGAAGATTGAAGAGATCTTCCGAGATTGAAGTACAGGGTGGGGGGAAATTGAATTCCTCTGTTCCGGAATCTTCTCTGCCGACGCCTTCGCCATTGGAGTTGCAACAACGGCCTTCTCCGCCGCCGACCCTTTTGAATGATATGGTGGAGGAAAAGGTTGATCGGGAGATTAGGGATGGCGAGAATTGTAAAGGGTTGTTGATGGCGTTGCTGATGGGGGCCTTTTTGGTGGTTTTAGCTTTAGGGGCGAAGAAATTTGCTGTGGGATTAACCTTGTCGGCTTTTGTATTGATTTTTGTGGAGTCTTTGCGCAAGCGTTGTTGTTTCGGAGTTTTTATCCCCTGTTCAGTTTCGAGATTCATGGGAATTAAGGAAGCGAAGTTGGAAGAGGAGAGGAAGTGTGAAAGTTCTAATTCCAGGAGGATAATCACTCCGAATCACAAAGACTCTGTTGTTGAAACTAAGAGTGTTAAGATAAAGAGCTTATTGTTGGATTCTAATGATGAATCTGGCTCTGATGGAAATTTGAAACGAAGAAAACCAGATTCACTGGCGGTTCTCCTTGAGGAAGCTTATGATTCGGAGAGTAAGAAGAAGAAAAAATCTGGGAAAGCTAAGATGAAATCAACATTGAAGCACGTCTTCGCTAAGAAATCATCTAAAAAGGGAAAGAAAGCAGGAATCTCCGGAAGCAATCCAACCCTAACCGAAGAGAATGATGCAGTAAACAATTTGGAGCATCGTGATGGCAATTCGTCATCCATCTCCAGTGGAAGTCATGAAGCGGAAGAAGCAATTGAAACACTGATTTCTGTATCTGATTCCGACACAGACAACTTGGTGATGGCGGTGGCAGAGGGAGAAAGCCAGAGAAGTGGAAATTTTGGGTACTTGTTTCTGTGCATAATAGTCCTGATTGGGCTCTATGGAGGCAGGATTTTTGCACTCTTGCTCATCTTGACCTTCTGTCTGGTGAAGAAATCTGGTGGGAAGTTAAGAAGATACGCTGGGTTTTGCCTTTGATTGGTTGCTGTCGGAATTCTCAATTCTGGGGTTTGGCGAGATCTTTGTAGGTTTTGTTTGTTGTATCATGAAATCTTGATGAATTGTTTCAGTTGTTCTTGGAGCTCAGGAAAGTAAAGTCTTTTTTCTGAATGCTTTGATGTAAATTTACAGAAATCCAGTTATAGATTGTGAAACATCTTTCCTGTTGTTTTGTTCTTCCTGTTTTTGCTTGTGGTCCTTGTGGATCGAAAAGTTCTTTTTTTTTTTTTTCCTTGTCACCAGATAATTTCGACCTATTACTGTAATAAGCATGAAAAAATCTAGGTGGTGAGTGACTGACAGTACTCTAGACAAAATCAGAAAAGAATAAAATAAATGGCTTCTCACAGCATTTTTCAAGGAAAAAACAAAGAAGTACTTGCTCCCTTCTTGATCACTCTTTGTCCCATGTCCTATTTTACCACTGAAGCATCAGCAAAATTTCATTTTTTTAAAAAAAGTTATTTTAAATAAAAGAAATACTAATAAATGCGTCAAATTTATGCACTAAAACTGAAATAGATTAGTGAAATGAACAAAGGAAAAAAAGAAAAAAAAAAACATGTTTGCGTTCTTAAATTAAAGAGTCTCTGAGTTTGGACTAAACCAAATTTACAAAGTCACCAAGTCAGCACGGTAATCTATTGACAAAAAGTAAAACGTTCTCAGTTCACACACTTGATGCATCTAAGTTCCAATGGCTGACTAATCAAAATTGCCCAATTGGCGTGAACATCAAAGATACATCAGAGCACCGCAAACTACTTTTTGTGGAACACCATTCTAAATAATAATAATGGAGGTTCAGCACTCATCAAACCTAGGATGATTTTGACCCCGGCATGGGCTTTAATTCTACCTGAGTCAGACGGCAAAACTAGAAGAGGGTGACTCTTGTTCAAATCTAATAGCTACAACTGTAGGGATCTGAAAGATGATTGTTCTTCCATTGACAGGGAAGAAAACCACTTTCTTAGACATGTCAGGGCTGATGATTGACCATCAGTCAGGGTACTGTCAAAACTTGAGTCGACATCTTCTATTGACGGCCTATCAACGAGGGCGATTAAGGCCGTCACAGAAGCAAACTGGATCGGAAGACCATAAGTCTTAAATTTGGTGCTGCAGAGGACACCCACTAACCAATTTCTCAAGATGTCAACTTGAGAATCTCCATATCCTTTAGCATCAACTCCAATCCTGAAAGCAGAGCAGTATAAAGAAATCTCAGAATTACGCACCATGGAAAAGAAAAAATCTTTTGATTGCAGGAATTAATTAAAAAGGCTCTTCCCCTTGATGCCAATGGTCAAGCGAAAAGATGAATAAACATTTAGTCACAAAATGGAATGTCTTTACTCTAGGTGCGTCAAGCTTCTTGCGAAAGAAATCAGGCCACTCAGTTTTTAAGTACAAACACGGAGCAGAGAGCCACAAATTTCTCAGGTTCCTAACACATAATGTAAATTGCCATGCATTTCTAGCCATTACGTTAACCAGAACAATAAAACGCCTAAGATAACTAAATGCAGTTCGGGGACACTCCAATTTCAATGCCCACGTTCATTCAGATTTCCAAAATTTAAGCATATGAAATCTTAGCAGAGAGATCTAATCATTAACAAACTTCAAAATTCTTCTCTACATACATAATGAACATTTTACAAATCACACCTACCTCCCAAGTCGACCAAGAAGAGCAATTAACGCAGCAAACACGTAGCCTGGAATAGATGAGTCCAGAATCTTCAGAAGGCATAAGATGATAGTGCTGAATGTCCAATCCCAGGTCTGAATAACATGAAAAAGCCGGTTCAGGTAAAAAATAATAATAATAATTAAAAAATAAAAAATTCTTTAGATGTTTGGTATGGAAAATAGAGTAAGAAACAACAAGTACAATCCCAGGTCTGAATAACATGAGAAAACCGGTTCAGATAAATATTTAAAAAAAAAACCCAATTATAAAAAAAAAAAAATCTTTAGATGTTTGGTATTGAAAATAGAGTAAGAAACAACAAGTATCCAACATAATTATACAGAAATTTCTCTCCTCAAGTCAGCCATCCTCATCTCTTCAACTATGCAATTTTTTTTCCCTTGCTTTGAAGGTTTTCTTCAACCACATAACGTTTTTGAGGAAGAAGAACAATTTTGATATCTTTTAGGCTAGCAAAGGTTAACAACCAATCAATATATTCACAATTTCTAACAGAAACAAGTTTGAAAGCTTGTAAAAGACTAGAAGGGTATTAAAAGGGAACAAAAAGAAACGTACAGAATAAACATAATAGGAAAAATCACACTTCAAAGAGCACTGAGAACGTACCATATACTTTGCAACAAGCTCCACTAATGAAAGAATGTCAAGCAACCAGCATAGCTGTTGGTTTGACTCAAAATTCAGATTAACCACCTCTTTCTCACCTGGAACATCTGCAACAGTTCCAGGGAACTCCGGTACACTATTTGAGGACAACAGTTCATTGCAAAGGTCCTGTTCTTCAGCAACAGAAGAAGCATAGCTCTGAAGCTTTTCCAGCAGCAATGATACAACTGAATCAACAGAAGCTACATCCTGCGAAAATGGGCATGCACCACATGCTGAAATCTTTACCGACTTCTCATCCACAGAGGATAAACATGAACATTTTCCAGCTGGTAAAGAATCCAGCCTCTCAAGGAATCCCACCAGAGATTTCTGGACATACATCACTAAACCATAATCTTCAAGGGTAAAATATTTTGGTCCGGCAAGATATGCAAAAGCATGGAGCAGTTTTAGCACGAAGGAAATGTTAATCTTCCTCTGGCAAAGTAAGTGGTAAGATATCTCACAAAGAGAACCAATTCGATCAATCGACACACATATTAATGCTAATAACAGTCCACCAGCAAACAGCACGTCTGTTGAAGCAGCTGCGACAGACCAAAATACAACTTTATCATTAGGGAGAGATTCCGCTCCTGAACAACATCCATTCATTTTACAATCAAAATCATCAACATCCATCAAGATAGTCCCGTTTAAAAGGAAACTCTCAATTAGAGCTAACAGTTCATCCACATCACAGGATTCGAGCAGCATCCTCTTTGTAGCCACATCAGACAACACTGCACCAAAAGGAACGCTGTAAGATTAAACATCCAAGTGGAAGTATATTATGTGTTATTGACCAGTTGAATAAAAGGTAAGAAAAGATCTGAAAAAAAAAAAAAGGGAATAAAAGGTAAGAAAATGACAAACCTGCACACCACTGTTGCGAACAGGAATCTATTAGCTGAAGGAAACCAGCATCAGAAAAGCTTCTGAAATCACCAATTGCAATCTCAGGAATGTAGTGAAGTAGCAGTGAGAATAGAACAGAAGCTCGTTCCCTGGATACAGAAATGGAAGAAACATTATTCAGATTGAAATCTAGAAAAGAGCCTTGTGAATAGACTGCAAACATATTTAGCTCAAAAACTTATGGTCAGTGCTCCAACATCCAAATGTTTACAAAAGCAAGCTTATGATAAGGAGATATAACAAATAATACAGCACAAGACCAGGCATGTAGGATGTCAAAATCCAGACTCTTAACAAAAAAAGTTGCAAGACAATTTTCCCCTCCCGAAGAATAACTCACAACCAACATAAAAATCACATGGACACTTACGTTACCCATAAAATGAAACTTACTTTAGTTTTAAGCACAAGTGCTGTGAATAGTATGAGTTAGAGCAGTGTAATGTAATGATACTGAACAAAAAAGGAATCCAAACTTACTGACATAATACTTACCCAACAGATAAACCATCAGCCTGTTGAAGGGAAAGCAAGATAGTCAGTATCAATCTTTCACTCAAACAGGTGCCAGAAATTTGAGAAATAGTTCCATGGCAAGCATGAAATATCCTATGAATGCTGCCGGTATCAATGTTATTTGGAGAAACGACACAATATTGCAGAGATCTACTAAACTTCAAACCTCTTGAGTCTGAGGTGACCTTGGCATCTTTAGGAGCAAACGCTGCCGCTATCTGACCAGAATTCTCAATACCAGAACTGCCACAACCACTACAATCTATACCTTTCCTGGAATCATTACAAGGTTCACACGTCTCAAAAAACAAACTTTTGCTAGTCCCAAGGCTTTTAAGGGTCTTTTCATTGGAATCGATTTCTATGTTGATTACATCAAAACAGTTTGATGGCATTGCTTGTTCTTGAACTCTGGAAATGCTTGGCACGGACCAAGAGGCTTGCAATTGATTCTCAGTGGCCTCTGTACATGGAAACTGGATATTACAAAAGGAAGGAGAAAGGGGAGCGACAGGCTCTTTGATTGCTTTGCGAAAAAAATTTTCATCCTTATCATTGTCCAAATCAACCAATGCCATAACACCCTGATCCAGCAATTCAAAATCCCCATCATTCTCTAAATCAGGAGCATTTTTATTGCAGTCAATTGTATAAGCCATTTTGTAACCTTCAGAGATTTCAGTACTAAGAGCTTCATGTTTTGATTTAAGTTCAACAGCAGGCAGCATTTTGAGACCGATATTTGACCCTTTTTGCTTCTTGTGAGGTCTAGCTAACTTGCTGCAGACATTTTCTTTTAACTTGGGAACCAAAAGTGTTTCCTCACCAGAAGAATTCAGGGATTCGCCATTTAAAATGCCATGCAGCATAGTTAAATTATCTATTACTTGCGGCTTCAATTTTCGACTAGCAGAATACAGCTTCTCAATGGAATCACCCACATCAGGAAACCTTTTCCTCTTCCTCCTCTTGTGCTTCACACTCCTTTCAGTAGCATCAAACTTTATTGGACTTCCTACACTGTTGACAGCTCCTGTACCAATTTTTTCATCACAACTTTTCCTTGTAACATCAGACAAACTGGAAGTATATGGTTCAAGGTTTTGCTCTTCCGTAAATAAAGCTGGTGCAGTGATGGAAGAAGTACCCTTTTCCTGTGAGCCCACCAATGTTCTATCAGAAAAAGATGCCGAACTGGAATTTAGGGCAGAAGTCTGTAACACGTTTCTGCTGGAACTTCTAAGCAGAAGATCCAAACTAGAATCAGTACCTGTAAGGGGACCTGTGCAGATCTCCCCGGATACAGGAGGAATTAACACAGTAGGGCCAGGTCCTCTCGCAATGCTGCTTGTATGTTTTACAAACTCATTTTCAGTTTCGAGAATCATTTGAGATGGCTGGGTATGAAAACATCCTTGCTCCAAGTTTGGGTTTTCCACCTGGGAGATAACGAGCACTGTGATTATACAAATAAATTGTAGGTAAACTATAATTTCATGATTCAAGAATTTATCGTAAATAAATGCAAAGAACTGATTCCAAGAGCGCAGGCCAAATGTATAACTTCCAACACAGCCTTCATCTCAATAATAACAACTAAGCCTTTATCTCCTAATGCAGGGTTGTTATGTATCATGTCTCACCATCATGCTGGTTTAAGTTCAAATAAAAATCTGTTCTTACTCTCAGCAAACCAGGAAGGATGAAACAAGGTACACAAATATTTTCTATATCTGACACAAATATATAGTTGTTTTAGTTTAAAAACACACTGAAACAGATCTTAGCTAGCAACAGTCATATTCCAGAATAGTGGACAGAGAATGATCAAACAAATAAGCTGCACTAAAAGTATTTTGGCTTGAGTTATTAATTACGCCATAAACATTACTATCTTTCCCAACTACTTAATAAAGATATTCACAACTTTAACCATAAAGATTAATAAAGATTCTTCCTTCTAACCATCAAATTTGCTTCCCCCTTTTAAAGAACTCAGAAATTCACTCAGAACGACCTTTTACATATAAGAAGGAAATTCCACTCACTTCCTGTACCAAGAGGTTAATAGCCCAAGTATTCATGCATGAGGTTTTGAGCATTAGCATTAAACAATCAATAGCATAAATGCAGCATGAAGCTAGTATAAGCCGATACAAATGTAAACGCAACCACCGACAATGAATCCAAATGTTAACTCATCATTAGTTCCACTACAGGATAACTCAATAACACTCGAAACAGTATGGTATAGGATACGAGCTTTAGAATACTGCTAAAAACATGCAAAAATTTCACATCAACAAGGCTAAACTCGCCAACTTGTTCTTAACTATGGAAGTTGATATGCGGTTTCAGAATGAAATGAAAGTAGCGTCTAGCTAAGCAATCATGCAAACACATAACACGCAACATGGCCACCTTAATTACAAAATATAATCATAAAAAAATCATGCAGATAAAATGAACACAAATCGAACAAATAACCACATGCAACTCAAATTAGAAATGCAGAGAGAATGCCAGAACACACCCAGGAGTTTAAAGGACAAATGAAAAGGTAATGTACTCTTTACTCTTGTTCAAAAAAAAAGGTAATGTAATCTCAAGTCACAACACTAATCATTCACCAGCAGGGTGGTGTTACTCCAGAATCCTTTACTACAAACTGGACCTTAGCAGCAAACAGTAACAAAGAAGGGCCACCAGATTAAAGCCTACCGTCTTATAAGTATTGAAAGCCACAACTAATGACACAATCCCAGTGAAATCATAGAAATTGCATTACTGGTGTGCCATCTAGAAGAAACAGAAATCACGAAAATGATCCTCCTTAAAAGTGCAGTAAATAAGGATGATATGTCACATCATGGATGCTTGACATCCTACAACCATCTTATCTCTCTAATCTCAGGGGAACTTATTCTCCTCTTTCCTCCTTCCATGTTAATCTTTCATGTTCTAAATTTAGGATAAAATGCAATGCTCCTCCATTCTACCTTCTTGCATCGACTACTACCAAAACCTAACAACACAGCAGTCCCCACAGTTTCTTTATAAACTGGTACCCGGCATGCACTTTGACATCAATATATTCAAATTTCTATATATAAGAAGTGTTTATCAATATATTCTTACTAAATCATTTAATAAAATTCAAAAAAAAAATATATACCTTTTCCAGATCATTCATGCCCCCACATTTGAGAAAGAGGCCCTGGTCCAGTATGTCTAAGCGCTTTAAGAATTGTAGGAATTCCTGTTTTATGCAATGTATTTCTCGTCGAAGCATCTGGTTCCGATCCATTTCCATCTTAGACACTTCATTGGCATGCTTCACTCGCATTTTTTCAAACTTCAATTGTTTCCTCAGAAACTTGATCTCAGCAGTTGATTCTTGTAAAATTCCACCAGATGAAGGATCAAAGCATTCAGATACTTTCACAGAGGAAATAAGCTCCTGAACCTTGTTTTGTATTTCTTCCAACTTTTGCTTGTTTGCATCTAGCTGATAAGAAAACCATTCAGCGCGATTCCTTTCTTCCAAAGCCTTACTCTTATATACTTCTGCAACTCTCATTTGCTCTTCTGCTTTCTTCCTTTCTGACTTTACCTGCTTCTTGACCCTAAAAATTTTCTTTTCTAGTCCTTCCTGCTTCTTACGTGCCTCTAGTACAATACTTTCTCTACTGATGATTCCTGAACCTATCTCACCAACAGATTTTGATCCCAGCAATTCAATAGGTTGGTCACCAGGAATCTCGACCAACTTAGTGATAGACACACGTGAAAATTCTTTCTCAAAATCTTCAAGCCTTTTTTTAGTCTCATCCAATTGCTGAGACAAGCGATCCGCGCGACTCCTTTCGTCCATTGCCTTCCTCCGATTCGCCTCTACCAGCTTTCGTAAATTTTCATTTTTAGCCATCTCTCTGTCTGCTTGCTCTCTGTCCTTTCTTGATAGTCCATTTTCAGCCTTAAGCTTTCTGATTTCCTCTTCATATTTTGTTGTCTCCAAAGACAACTTTGATTTTGCCTCATTCAATTCAGATCTCAAAGTCTCTACTTGAAGTCTAAACTTCTCATCCTTCTTCTTTTCAATGTCTGTAAGCCTTTTTTTTTCACTAGCCATCTCTTTTTTTGCTCGGTCTCTCTCCTTTTTTGATAATTCAATTTCAGCCTTAAGCTTTCTGATTTCCTCTTCATATTTTGAAGTCTGCAAAGCTAACTTTGATTTTGTTTCATCCGCTTCAGATCTCAAACTTTCGATTTGAAGTATAAACTTCTCATCCTTCTTCTTTTCAATGTCAGTAAGCCTCTTGACTTCACTAGCCTTCTTCATTTCAGCTTTCACTTTAATTAGAGCCTCCTCAGCTCTCTTTCTCTCCATATCAACTTTCTCTTTCTCGTGAACAACCTTCTCTTTTTCCATTTGTAATAGCCCCTTGAGCTCCAATACTTCTGCTTCAGCTTCCAAAATACGTTGCTGCAAACTTGCAACATCCTGATCCAGACCTCTACGCTTCAGATCCCCATTCTCCTGCAGTGAAAGAATCTCAGTCTTCAGAGCAGAAATTTCATTCTCCAAAGCAACTCGCAGAGTATTTTCTTTCTCCTTATCTTCTTTTTCACTCTCCGCTCGTGCCCTCTCTTTGTCACATGCTGAAAAGGAAAAATACAGCAGTGATAAGCAGAAGCAGGATTGTAAAAATATAAATCTCATTGACTCCAAAGACCAGGGGCTAGAATCCCACTATACCATCAAGTAGAATAAATATTACTCCATAACATTTTGAGTTAACAAGAACATATTAGTATAAAAAGGATTAAATTTAGTGATTAAACTAGCAACGACTACTACTATAATGATAACAATAACTCACTGATAACTCTAGAGTAACATTAACAACATGAGGATTGCACTGGACCACAATACTATTGACTTCAATACAATAACTACACTCTTCATTTTCAGCTCATAAGAACACTCAACTGCTAACTCTTCCTTGTTTCTATGATATTGATAAAACATACTCCCTCTGTCCCAAAATTATTCTCTAGTTTGAGATTTCATTTTTAGTACAATTTGAACTGAAAATGAAATTCCAAACTGGACAATAATTATGGGACGGAGGGAGTAAGACAAAACGTAATTACACAAAAATGCTCAATGAATTTTAATGTACCTTTCTTGAGATCACTATTTTCAGCTTGCAATTTACTCAATCTCTGCTCCACCTGCGGAAGTGTGTCCTTAAAAGCCTTCCGAATACTTTCAGACTTTAAAAACTTCTCTTTCATTTTTGAGTACTTCTCTTCCCACTGCCAAAACAACAAATACATTAAATGAGTCAGTAGAATTTCCATACATTATACCCAAAAAAAATAAATAAATAAATTAAAGAATTAGAAAGGGATGAGGAATTCACCACTTGGCAGCAGGGCTTGCAGGCCTTATCTTTAACCACAACATCCTCCGCCATTTGCTGCAACATTAAAATCAAACTCTAAGTAAAATACATTAGCCAGAAAGATAACAAAAATAATGCAAACGATAACTTTAATCATTAGAGGTTAAAACCACAAAAAAAAAACTATAATTTCGAAAAGGGAAAAAAATTGATGAACTGCAATAGCTATACAAGAAGCAAGAGTTGCAACAATCGGGAATTACAAACACAAGCAACCAAGAAGATGAAACTTGAACCCCACAGGAGCAGTTTGAACCAGCTAACACACAGAAGAAAGAAACAGTGACGAAAATAATAGGGCAAGAAAACCTAACAATAGCATGGAGTACCAAAATTGAAGAGAATTTACACTAACTAGAGGTTGAATGCGAGGGGATTTCAAGCTGGAATTTTAACTGACGTTTCCGGTGAAAGAGCTAAGCTTCATATACATGAACTACTTCTGAGAAGAAAAAGCGGCGGGCACCGGAGACCGGAGAGACCATTTTTCTCCGTTCCGCCTTCCCTCTCTTTTGTTTTTTGTTTCTGCCCCAAACCGACTCTGGATTGTTTTTGTTTTGTTTTCTGGACAAAAGCCCTTTTTTTTTTTACAGAAGCCCATTAAATCAGTAAGCCCATTACTACGGATGTCCCAATTTCCCTTTTATACATTTTTCAGTAATGCGGCTCTCTTACAAATTTTCAAAAACGGAAGGTCAAAAAATTGAAAATTTTCAAATTGATGCATGTTTTTAATCCGTGAATATTCAGAGAATATGTTACATAAAATCTATGTTAGCATTCGAGGAGATCTATAATTCGTCGTGATATTTTCAGACTTTTATTTTCTATGATGGTCATGTTTGAGGACATTCACAACAATGATTTAATGTGGTTGGAATGTCAGAATCAAAATTTTGCCAATTGATGGAGGTTGTGTAATTTTATCAGTCGTGCAAGAATGGGAAAAATTGGTTAAAGAGTAGTAGAAGAGATCAAATTAATAAGAGATATGACTAAAAAATATTTTTTATGAAGGACAGTAATTTATTTGTCAAAAATTTTAAAAAAGAAAATACTATGAATTGACACCCTTATACTTTCTTACACAAAAAATGATTTTAAAAAAATAAGAAAGCCTAATTCATTTTAATGAATTGACACATATTCAACCGAGATATCAAATAATCTTCGGTTGACTTTCATCCTTATAGGGCCTCACGCAATGCAAGAGCTTCCGCAAAATCCGAATTGATGATACCATGAAACTTTCGGGAAATGCCTTGTATAAAAATTTTAGAGGGAAATTGGAGTTAGGCGCCAGCACAACTCCTAGCAAGGGAAAATGCGCCATCAAAATAGACCCTCATAGGGCTTACATTAGGAGGAGACATAAAGGCTAGACTTTCTAAAGATACGTTATTATGCTCAGGATAGCAGTTAGCCTTTGCGAAGTCGCTTACAACCCTGCTGGCATTCAAAACAGTGGCCCAAGGCGTGGATTTTTTTTGCTCGAATAAGGCTAGGTTGCGGGCTTGCCAAATTCCACAAAGTATGGATGCAGAAAAATCCGCCAATGGAGGGGGAAGATTCAAAATTGCAGTAGCTGCCCGAAGGTCACAGAAAGGGAGCTGATGCTGCTGAATAGCATTGAAGAGTCCAGCAATCCTAAATGCTTGGACGACGAATGGACAATCAAAGAAAGTGTGGCAATTTTGGAGAGCAAGCTGAATTTACGGAGGGCATAGATCATTGAAAGATAAATGCCTGACAGCCAAATTAAAAGGTGTTGCAAGAGAATTCCTGAATAGGACACGACTAGGCACCTTGAGATTCCAAAAATTTTTCTCCACAATTATGATTGATGATCAGCGGTACCTGTATCAAAATCAGGGGTATTCAACAAAGTAAAATAGGCCGAACTAATAGTGTGTTTTCCTGACTTGTTGTGGTGCCAATTCCATAGATCAGGGCTGTTGGTATGGGGCAGAGCCATAGAGAGGATCGCTTCGGCCTCCAGTGAAGGGAAAAGACTGTTGACATGTTCATCATAACTCCTTTTTTTTTTTTTTGGCATGATCGAACTTAGACATCATCGCCGACCGTCATCATCAGAATTTTCCATCATCATCAAATCTAGGTTTCACAAAAAATAAAGAAAAAAACCTTATCAAATCACGAATTGAAAGATAAAAGTTCACCTCGTCAATTCCTCCTTAAAACCGATTCAGGCTTTCATCTTTTTTTTATTATTTTTTTGAAAGAAATCATAAAAGTAATATTGTTAATTCAAAGTATTTTTTATTTTTGATATTTTTTACAAATAAATTACCATCCTTTATAAAAAATAATTTTCGGTCATAACTCTTTTATTAAATTGACATCTTCTACTGCTCTTTCGCTAAATTTTTCCTAAGAAATATTGCACCGGTGAAACTGACAAAAGGTGGGGTGCTGGCGGGCCATCACATTGCCAGCGCCACATTCTCTTTTTTTTTTTTTTTTCCTTTTTTTAAATTAAAAATATCAGGAAAAAATTAAATTTCTTTATTTGCCTTTTTTGACTGCTGCATTTATTTTTTCAGTATAGATATGATTTTTTTTTATTCGTTCATCATTTAAAAACAGTAGCTATTTTATAAATTAATTATTATACTTTATTAATATGATGTTTATTCAATGATAATTAGGTTTTTTATTTTTTATATTATCTAATTAAATTTTTTATATTTGTTTTAAAAATAATAAAATTCAAGTAAATGTAATTTTTTTTTAAAAGGTAAATTATTGATAGGGGAATAGTTGTAGAGTAATAATTGTAGGGTAGTTGTGGGTTTAAAATTATATGAATAGTGAATGTACAGGAAAAAGTATATAAAGTGGGAGTGTAGAAGTGAGAGTGTAGTATAATACCGAAGAGAAGTGATGTTAAATTATATGGGTTGTTGTAAATGCTCTGATAGTTTCAAAAAAATTTATAATTTTCTAACGATTATCCCATCCCAAAACAATAATATTTTCTCCCTATTTGAAAAATAATCTATATTGAGACTTAAGATTTGGCCTCGGTGTAAACTATTTTATGGGACAGTCATTTATCTAGTTAAGTAATGTAATGATGATGGTGATTTCCCTTAAAAAATAAAATAAAATTTACCGTTATAATTAAAGGTAAAGAAAATAAAATCTGCCAAGTAATTATTGAGCTAATAACTTTACAAAAGAGATTAAAAACAAAACTGAAACTAAACCTGAACGATGCCATTTAAGATCAGAACTTTGTTTTGTACATAATTCTCTACATAACATCTCTGTTGGTACCATACAAACATTCTAATAAACGTAGAGTAGCTATCGTGCACAATAAATGAATATTCGTGGATGAAAAAAAGGGAAAAGAAATTAATAATCTTGATAAGACTTCGCCCTTGGAGTGATTTACTGCCGAAATATCATGATGAATCCACTTCAAATCATCTAGCTTTCTCAGCTACTTTTGAAGGAGGTAGCGTTCCAAATACCTTGTCCCATAGTGAGGAAGTAATACCAAAGCCCTTCGTTTGGATACGGAAATGATGATTCAAATGATATTTCTGCGAAACGAAGAGAAGCGATGCATAAGTTAGACAAATATTCAGACATGACCAACTTCGTTGTGGCAGAAGAATGCAACTTTACTTGCGAAATCCAGAATGGCAGTAAATAAAATAGAACCAATATTAAAGACACCAACATTCCCAAACTAACTGGCTTGCTCGAGAGAGAAATGAACCATTATTAGAACTGTACACTTAAGCACATGTAGGAGTTCCAAAAACTTACAACCCGTAAATACAAGCAGGCCAACTGGAGAAGAAAGAAAAAGTGGGGAGATGGACTACATATCATTATAGACTAGGATGCAGGCAAAAAGGAAAACCAAAAAATCTATTTGGCATTATGAGAGTAATGTCACCTTAAGATTTTTTGGAACTTGATTTGTAGGCTGGCCGTGATGCAAGTAGTAATGGGTCACATCATACATCACATAACCTAGCAAACCTCCTCCAAACAAAGCAGGTGCGGTAGTTGGAGTAGACAATAGTTTTATCAAGTTATAGAACTGCAATAACATAATCACAATATCACATCAGTGAGAAAGGAAAAAAGACTGTTATGAGATGCTTACATTCAGTTGAAAGCATCACACATATTCATTTAAAAACATTCAAGTTCAAGATGCTCATCAGATACAGGCATATATAGATGGAAAATAGAAAGAGATTTCATCTCTTAAACAGTGTATTTTGATTTATGTTTCTAAGAACAGAAAATACATTTTGCTGTCCAGAGTAACTAAATTTCACATTTACTCTGGTCAGGAAAGATGTTGACTAGCATATATGTAAACAGATAGAAATTCGGACCACTTTGAGCGTATCTAATCGCAAAACCCAAGAGATATTCAGGTTTAAATTAAAATTCAACATATAGCCCAGGTTATCGAAATCTTTGTCACAGCACCCAAAAAGAAAAAAAAAAATCAATAAATAAACAAAACTGTTCCTTCAGAAAACCAAAAGTGCCGAGAAGCAGAATTTAGATACTACGACTTAACAACGACAAATCACAAACACAACATACTGGGAAACATAGCACCGCAGTTGCAGCAGGAGGGAATACAAGCCGCAGACCATCCATTGGGTGTTTGTGATGGCAACCATGAAGGAGATAGTGAATGGTGTTTCCCCTGTTACAAATTCTAGAATGTCAGTACATGTAAAGAAAACAAACACTATTATTACTCTAATAAACCAACCAAAACCAGCAGAAGAAACTTATGTGGACACACAAACAGAGAAGTGACTAACCAATAAGTCTTCGTCTTGATGTGGAAAAGGAAACGATGTAACGTGTATTCCAGCAATGTCCATACACAAATACCAAATACCACCATCAAGGCAATCTGGGGAAGTGTATGTCCCATCCAAAAGGACTTTGAGATGAACCAACTTACAACTGGGAGCCAGATAAGCGGAATTACCCACCATTCTGTGCGTGTTAAAAACTGTATTGATTAAGAAACAAGTCAACACCAGCAAGGGTGCCATACAAATGAGAGAAGGAGACAGATAACAAAAATTACATCTCAATTGGAAAAGATACAATTCACATGGGATTAAACATACCTCCCAAAAGTCACTAGCAAAAAATCGTGGACCTTCCTTAGACACTATAGGCTGGTGAACCCATTCTTGATATGATTCTCCAAGATGACCGACCTACATAAGATTAGAAGGTCAGGATGAATGACATGCAAAATGAAGACATATTAACTGTAGTAACCATGGTGAATATGATAAGATTCTGCATGCTATAGATGAAATTTCATGGAGTTTGGTCTTGTTATGCAGCTCAACTCAATCTAGATGAGCTTTTCCATAGATGACCAATAGGATAAAAATATAACTAGAGATTAAAAAACATCACACGCACTAGCCCACACATATAAGGGAAAATGAGTGAATTGTGATGCAGCCATGTTTTTGCTAACGGCAAAAAGTTGGGTTACACAATAGAACTGAACTATAACTATTTTTCTTCTCATCTAGCTTCAGTTGATTATTTTTGCATTTCTGCAATAACCCAGGTCAGACAGAAGAAGTTCTCCATCAAGGTTCTGTTTCAATTTCCAACAATATAGAACTGGGGACACGAGAAAAGAAAGGGATGCATAGCTGGAGGACAAGATTTCAAACTAGCACAAATATCCATACCTTGGGCCAAGATACAAGTGTCAGATTGATAGTGAAGAGTGAAGAAGTGCAAAAATGAAAAAGAAGAAAGAAAGAACCAAAGGCAGCAAGTTCCTCGGGCAGTGAATCACTATATTCCAAACAAAATACTAATACTCATCATAATAGTAACTACTAATCAATAGAAAACACACAGATTTCAAATTGTTTCCCATATCCAATCCTAATTCTGCAGTTGACCAATGGGAAATTGTGTGTATACCAGTCCTAAGAGGAAAAAAGCTCTGGTCTCTGAAAAAACTGATGAATATCTTGAATAGGATATCAATTCTAGCTAATATGTAGGGATGAGGTCACACTGAAGGTGCAAGGGATGTGTGGCAAACAAAACAAGAGTTCTCACCTGGAAGACAAGAGGTTTATTTAAGTCCACTGTAAAACCCTGAGCAACCATCTTGGAACGAAACTGTGCTGCTGCGATCACATGTAAGAGGAAATGAAACAGAGTTAAGAAGATACTTAAGGTAAAGAGATCATATTAACAGAAGTTTCTTAGAGACATGAAATGCTACAAGGTGCATGACATTATGGGGAGGATGGCATATTATATTAGCTTTTGATCATGCACAAAGAAACATAATAATGGCTTGATACTTTCAAAACTAAGCTATGCTGAAAAGAGAATTCAAATAGAAACATATATAATAAGAAATCACTATTACTAAAGGATTCGAGGAATTCAAAAGCACATTTAGTGTCCTTGTTCAAAAAATCAGTTCCTTAATTAATCTTGTAAGAGGTTTCCAAAGCTGTATGAACAGACAAAATAGAATACTATGTGAGGCTTCTATATTAATTAACTCAATGAACCAGCTTTTCTATCTCAATTTTTGGAAATATACAAACTGATACTTATGATCCAATCAACAAGCAAGTATCAGTAAACATTTTAAGAACGCCAAACATTGCAAACTACAAACAGCAGATGAACAAACTATAAGTGAATCTTGAAGACTGCCTTTGAAATTTAACAATTGTAGTACACATAACAAGTGTGGATGATCAGAATTGATGCTTTTTCAAAACATTTAACATTGAAGCAATGTGCATCAGTGTAATGCAAGCTTTCAACAAAAACCAGTTGAAACACAGAATCATGGGAGAACCCACCAAACGTATCAGCTCCAAAGAGCACTAAAGTTACTGAAACAATTATTATTCATAAAACGTTGGGGCAAAATCCGAAAAAATAAGATAATTTCGCCTTTGAGAGTTTCCACTTCAGACCGAAAAATTGAAACCAAACCCAAATTTTAAAACCCAAGACAGTCCTGCTTTAAAACCCATAATGCATTCTAACATACGAATCGATTCTTCTGTACTCTCAAAAGAGATCTACCAATGAAACACCATTCTTTATCAACCAACAAAACCCAATTTCTCCATAAACCCCCAAAAAAAAAAAAAACGGAGATAACAGAAGGTATTACCGACCCAGAACAATGCTGGCCTGATCTGTAAAGATTAACTCAAAATTGTGCCTTTTCCCGAAAAGTGACCGACTTTTGGTGGCAATATAGAGAAGTGGCGGCTCAAAGGAAGCAGCTTTGGCAGCAGATGTTTGAACTGACCAGTAGGAGTAGAACACTGTAAGTGGGCTTTGTTGTTTTGGGTTTATGTAATTATCAAGAAATTTTGGTAAGAGGAGTTGGATTGAAAAAGATATTGGCTAGGCTCTATGATGATGATGATGGGATCATGAGGACCTTTAGATTTGGGGGGATACTACTGAGAGCATCTCAGATGGAATCCGCCAGCAGATTTTCACGTTGGATTCCTATGGTTTTGGTCTGCCAGTCTGGCAAATCATAATAAGTCATGGGAACGGGTCCTAATTTACAACTCATTTTTGTCTCCATCAATTAAGTCCCTTTTTACACGATAGCTTATGGTTTCCAGTTTCACCAATTTAAATCATCAAAGGCATCAACTACTACTATTTCCTCGTCCTAAAATAATTATGTGGGACAACTGTTTATTTTGTGAGGGAGATTAAAATTTAGCCATACTTTTAGTCCTTAACGGGAACGTATTAAAATTATAGGGGTTTTTTTTTTTTTTTTGCAATTTGTCGTGGTTGATTTGGGGTGATATCTTTTGCCCTTAGTCACACTAGTAGGAATTATAATCTGTTATGATATTCACCTCAAATTGAAATGGAGTAATTTGGGCAATTCATTGGGCGCATCCGGGGACACCATACTCCCCCTTCTATTTTTTGCATTATTAGTATTTATTGTACTTTTTTCTACTTTTTCTAATAATTTTTCTATTATTTGCAAGTTTAGTCCCTGTTATTTTTTTTTCTCTCTTATAAAAAAACATCTCTAATATTCAAACGATTATATCTCTCAATCCATGAAGAATTAGAAAACGTGTTACACATGAATTTTATTGTATTCGTCGAGATCTATCCAATAAGATCCATGTCGAATATTTTTTCCGAGTTTAAAAATGACTAAATTTCGATGGGCAGAATAAGATGGATATCTAGTTTAGAAAGATGGATAACTCAATTCATTTTAAATTGGTTATCCATTGTATTTATGCTGATTATCCAACCAGTTTGAATTGGTTATCCAACTTGTTTGTACTGGATATCCACCCATTTGGTTTGTATGCCTAACAAACTTGTTTGTAATGGATATCTCACTTATTTGTACTGGATATCCATTTCGTTTGTACTGGATTTCCAACTCGCTTGTACTGGATATCCATCCATTTGGTTTTATATGCTTATCCAACTTGTTTTGTAGTTATAATCCAACGGGTTTGTATGTATATCCAACTTGTTTGTGCTGGATATCCAACTCGCTTGTACTGGATATCCAACTTGTTTGTACTGCATATCCATACATCTAGTTTGTATGCCTATTTAACTTGTTTGTACGCACTGGATATTTATCCAACTTGTTTGTAATGGATATCTTACTTGTTTGTACTGGATATCCATTTGGTTTGTACTGGATATCCAACTCGTTTGTACTGGATATCCATCTATTTGGTTTTTCTTTTTATTATTATTTTTTTGAAAAAAAGAAATGGTTGTCCAACGCATTCGTATTGATTATCCAACTGTTCTGTATAGATTATCCGACCATTTTTTTCTCTACTCTTTGCGAAAATCCTTGTCCAGTTTTTTTGTACTGACTATCCAACCGTTTTGTATGCTTTATCCAATCCTTTTCACTAATTATCCAAACATAATTTCTCTTTTTTTTTTCTTCTTTTGAGAAAAAATCTATCCAATGTATTCATACTGATTATCCATCCGACTTCTCGGTGATGGATGGTTATCCTATTTTTTTTCCTTGCTCTTTTAATGAAAATGATTGTCTGATTTTTTTGTACTGGTTATCCAACCAGCTTGTACTACTTATCCAATTTTTTTCAATAATTATCCAAATTGTTTGTAATGCTTATCCAAATATTTTATTTTTTATTCTTTTCTTTTCTTTTGTGAAGATAAGTGAATGTAAAAAATATGACTGGATAACAAGTACAAATAAAATGGATAATCAGTCCAAACCGGTTGGATATATCTCGTCGAGCACTATAAAATTCATATATAATTCGTGTTCTAATTTTTTACAGATCAAGAAATATATGTAATACAAGAATATCAATCTAAACTAAGTTGGTTATCCATCTTCTTTTTTCTTTCTTTCTCTTTTGAAAAGTGAATGTAAAAAATATGATTGGATAAAATAAAATAGGTAATTAGTCCAAACCAGTTGGATAATCAATATGAACACAACGGATAATCATTTTTCAGTTTATTCATTTCTGCCCGTAAGATTTAAATGCATTTAAAGTTCAAAAGAAATATTCAACATTGATCTTATCAGAAGATCTCGTCGAGCACTATAAATTTCATATATAATTCGTGTTATAATTCTTTACGAATCAAAAGATATAAGGAACACAACAATATGAATGTAAAATAAGTTGGTTATCCATCTTCTTAAACTGGATATCCAATGTGTTCATATTGATTATCTAACTTCTTTGTGGTGGTTATCCAGTATCTTTTTTCCTTGCTCTTTTATGAAAATGATTGTCAAACTTTTTTGTACTGATTATCCAACGTGTTGCACTGATTATCCAATTATTTTCTATTGATTATGCAAATTGTTTACAATGCTTATCCAATCATTTTTTTTTTGAAGAGTGAATATCAAAAATATGATTGGATAACAAGTACAAACAAAATGGATAATCAGTCCAAATCGGTTGGATAATAAGTAGAAACACAACGGATAACCATTTTTCAAAGAAAAACGAAAAACACATTTCTTCATTTCTGCCCGTAAAATTTAAATGCATTTAAAGTTCAAAAAAAATATTTAACATGGATCTTATCGGATAGATTTCGTCGAGCACTATAAATTTCATGTATAATTCGTATTTTAATTCTTTACGGATCAAGAGATATATGCAGTACAAGAATCTTAATCTAAACTAAACTGGTTATTCATCTTTCTAAACTAGATATCTATCTTATTCTGCCCATCGAAATTTAGTCATTTTTAAACTCGAAAAAAATATTCGACATGGATCTTGTTGGATAGATCTCGACGAGTACTATAATTTTCATGTATAACACGTTCTCTAATTTTTTACGGATCATGAGATATGGTCGCTTAAAGATTAGAGATTTTTTTTAAAGGAGAGAGAAAAAAAACAAAGAGACTAAACCTGTAAATTATAGGATGTTATTTAGAAAAGTGGAAAAAAGTGTAATAAGGACTAGTAGTGTAAAAAATAGGAGGAAGAGTATGGTGCCTGGATAGAGGCTCTGAATTTGATTATTTTATTACGCGTCTCACGATTATGAAATCGAAGAAATCACATGATACGTGTTTACATAAATGTTAGTCTATCTTTCAGACTTTCACCCTAATCTAATATTTGTTGTTAAAAAAATTAGTATTAAGTTATTACATGTCCAGAGTGACTTGCATACTAAATCAATTATGACTAGAAGGTAAGCTCGTTAATTTTCTCACACCACAGATACATCATGCTCTAACTGTCTAATTTCCACAAATTTCAGCATTGGCTGAATTCCATTCATTGCTGACAAATAATGGAAAAATTTTCTGAAATAAACCTCATGAAATAATTAATGATTTTATAAATATTTTGTAAACCACTAGAGATATGCATTTTGGATGAGTTGGTTTTAATATACTTCGAACAAAATCAATTCATAATGTAACCATTCCTTTGATTATACATGACAATTATGTTCTACTGTTGGCTCTTTTTTTTTTTTTTTTGTGAAACAGATAATCTGTGTTGACTTTAATTTTTTATTTTTAATTCAATTTGTACTAAAATTGAAAATTTAAACTGGACAATAATTTTTAGGAGAAGGAAACCTTGTTACTTCCGGTTGTGCGCGTTCTTCATAGGAACATATCATACATGTATTTTAGTTTTCCCCGGAAATAAATTAGTTGTTGTTAGTATCAAACGTTACAGATGTATCACATAATATGATACACGTTTGATGAGGTTGAATATTAGATACATGATTCATATCACAGTAATATAACTATGCATTGGTCTAAAAATGACCAAACAAAATCAGGTTTTGTTTTAATGATGAGACATTTGTTTAAATCTTTTCTACCGATTTACAAAGTGCCTAATAAACAATAGGTGGAATACTTTGTTCACTCCTAAAGAAATTCTCAGGATCAACTAGGCTTTTCACTCTGGCCAATCTTTCAAAATTGCCCTTGAAATATTTCATCCCCCAAATTCTACTATCTGAAAACCTTGGATTCTCTCCCACATTGATTCCCAACTCCAAATCTCTGTAATTTAGATATGCAGACCTAGGAGATTTGGACACATATGGCTCCATGAACAAAAAGAGTTCATTGATCCACTTAACATGCCTCACATCATCATCATCTTCCCACTTCACCAAGTACTGAATGTTGTACAAATTCCCTTTCCTGTGAGGAAAGGGAGTTTCCGAATCCGGAATTTCATCCATTTTGCCTCCAAAAGGATCCAAGATCATGAAACCTAGCTGTTCTTCAGGAAACCTTTTCCATATCTCCATCAATGCATTCTCAGGGATCGGTTCGGTGACGAAATCAGACTTTGCTTTGAACTTGCTCTTGCGCTGATCAGTTCTGTTGAGTAAAACTTCCACCTTGTCAGGGAATCCTGCAAAGTATTCAACAGATTGAATCCAGCTCATTTCGGTACAATCTTCGGGCCGCAATTCCAATTCAGGGAACCACTGTTCCATCAAGGAAATAAGGTCCTGTTTTGATCCTAAAAACAGAGAATTAAAGAATCCCACAACAGTGTTGTCTTCATTCTGAATGACAATCCTTACGAACAATTCAGGAGGTAGATTAGGAGAAATTTGCTGCCATTTGTGTACTAATTTAGTCCCTTCTTGATCCAGCTGCTTTGGTAGATTGAAAACTGTAACAGTTCTCGTAACACGAACCAATTTGATTTTCCAGGAAACAATAACACCGAAACTAGCTCCTCCACCTCCTCTAATAGCCCAGAACAAATCTTCCCCCATTGTACTCCTGTCAAGAAACACACCATCAACATTTACGATTATGGCATCAACAACGTTATCAGCCGCGAGCCCGTATTTTCGGATTAACGTACCAATCCCTCCACCACTGAAATGCCCACCAATTCCAACACTAGGACATATTCCAGCTGGATTTCCATGAACTTCACTCTTCTGAGATATGGCAAAATAAAGTTCCCCTAGGGTAGTCCCTGATTGAACCCAAGCCGTTTCCTGTTCCAAATTAATAGAAATCGCCTTATAATGGAGAAGATCGATGATAACGAATGGAGTTTGGCAGCGGAATGAAAGGCCTTCATAATCATGGCCTCCACTTTTGACTCGAATTTGTAGTCCTTTCTCTTTGCTGCATAAAATGGTTGCTCTGATTTCAGTGTCATGATATGGTGTGACTATGAACAGAGGTTTTGGAGAAGCACTGGAATTATTATTGTACCATCTTGGGTTTTGTTCAGCATTTTGGAGTAGATTTTCATATGATTGAGAATTTGGAGTGTGGATGAATTCAGAAATGGAATTCTGGTTGACAGACATGCACTGAATAAATTCTTCATGAATTGGACTACAATATATCCATGGAATGAGAAGGTAGAAGAACAAAAACATCATCTCCCTAGAAACCATGTTTTTTTTCTGTGTTATTCACCAAGTTTTCTGACAAGCTGAGAAATTTGACCTTATATACAGGAAGATTGAAGGCCTTTTTCCAGAGGGAAAAAACAAAATTAGTGCTTGAGAAATATCGACTAAGCTGGACTTTTCCGTATTTAGTTGAAGAAGAAATGATTGAATAATCAGGATAATCTTCTGGAATTTGTAAGCTTGTGTTGACCTGATCTGCATCTTCCCAGAATAGATAGTACTTGTCACATATATGCATCATTTGGCAAATGTCATTGAGCCAAAACCAATGGTGAAGCCGGCTTGGAATCTGGAATCTCCCCCACCACCCACCCACACACAAAATTCATCTCTCGTTATTCTTTAATCTAATTTTGTGGGCGTTCTTCATTGCCTTTTCTGGCTGTAACTTGAGTTTGAAGTTAAATTAAGGATGATCAAAGAAAAAAACCATCAATATATTAAGTTTGCAAACTAAATTATAGAAATTGCATCATATAGCAGGGCCAAACAAATGTACAATTGTATTTTTTTTTCTTTTTTTGAGCTGACTTTTCAACCAAACATTGGATGCCAGGGGCGGACCGCTTAAGGGGCTCAGTGGATACCGAGCAGCCCAACTTACCGGAAAACCTTTTAGGAGTAGTTGATAGAATAGAAAGTATTTTGTAATTATCTAGTATGGAAAATATTGTAATCGATAGCATAGAATTAGTTAGAGATCAAACCAAATCATCTCTTGTAATTATCTTGATTGTATAACACTCTATATAATGAAACTCGATACATGGTGATCTCATTGAGAATCACTTCATTCTTTCATATTCTTTTATGGTATAACGAGTCCTGTCAAAAACATGACGAACTCCAACGTTTCCACCTCTGCTACTCCTCCTCCTAACCCTGAATCCACTGTTCTTCACTCCATGAATATCCCGTCCTCTTCCTCCACTTCTCATACTGCTCTTAGCCTTTCCAATATCAAGAATTATGTTTCTGCAGTTCTTGATTTCACCAACTATATGTTGTGGAAAGAGTTGTTTATGCCGGTTCTTCGCGATCATGGTGTTTTAGATCACGTTGATGGCTCTTCCTCTTGTCCTCCTAGCACTATCCTTGATTCTTCCAATCAATCTGTCCCTAATCCGGCCTATAACTCTTGGATTCAAATCGATTCCATCGTACTTTCTTGGATTCAAGCGAAAATTTCTTCCGAAATTCTCTAAGCCATCATCCGTCCCAATCAATCTCTTACTGCTTATGAAGCATGGACCTCTATCGAGAAGCTGTTTCAGGACCATATTGGTTCTCGTGTGCTTAATCTCAAAATGAAATTTCACAATCAAAAGAAAGGCGATCTCTCCATTAATGATTATGTTCATACTCTTAAAAATCTTGTTGATTCTCTCAATGCTGTTGGCGGAGTCATTTCCGATTCTGATCTAGTCCTCCAAATTCTTTATGGCCTACCAAATGACTACTTGCCTGCTTCCACAGCCATCTCTACCAAAATACCTCTTCCCTTTTTCGTCGAAGCCCGTGCCCTTCTGTTTTTTCATGAAACTCATCTCCAACAAAACCAAGTCCCGCCTTCGCCTGCTTCTTCTTCTGCCCTTGTTGCTAATACTGCTTCGGATGCTGCTTCCAATCAGTCAGCTTCTAATCAACAATCCCAAGCCAATTATTCTTCCAGTCGCGGGCGTGGACGTGGTCGTAATCAAGGTTTTTAGGGACGTGGACGTGGCCGTGGTCGCAATCAGGGTTTCTATAACCCTAACTTCTTCAATTCTGGTCCATGACTTCACCATATTTTTCTCCTCGCCCCCATGGTAACTCCATTCTTGGCCCCCCTCCTTTTCCTCAGTCTACTAATTCTCCTTGCTGCCAATTATGTTTGTAGCTTAATCACACTGCCAGGGACTGCTATTAGTTTCAACAACCTACTTATTATATGGATAATCGATTTGTGGCATCTTCTTCCATTCCTCCATCCACTGATCATAACTGGTATCTTGATACCGGTGCATCTAATACATTTGACTCCGAATGCAGGTAATTTTTCTACTCTAAAACCCTATCATGGTTTCAACCGAGTGATTGTTGGCGACGGTAAATCTCTGTCCATCGCTTCTACTGGATCACTTTTCTCTCCTTCCTTTCAATTTCCGTCTGTTTTTCATGTTCCTCAACTTGCTAAAAATTTGATCTCTGTAAGGCAATTCACCACTAACAATCAATGTTCTCTTGAATTTGACCCAATTGGCTTTTCTGTGAAGGATCTATGGATGAAGAGGCTCCGCCTCCGTTGCAATAATTCAGGACCCCTCACTTTTCCTCTGGATCGCTCCGCTCTCTCTGCAGCCTGTCACTCTCCATCTCTTTGGCATCTCCGGCTTGGTCATCCCAATTCCTCAGTCCTGTCATCATTATCATTGCTTGAGTCGCCTCCTCGTAGTGCTTTTTCAGCAAATAAATCTCTTTGTCATGCTTGTCAGCTTGGCAAACATCAGAGACTTCCCTTTGTTAGTTCTAAGTCGGTTACTCGTAGTCCTTTTGAGTTGATTCATTTTGATGTCTGGACCTCTCCTTGTATTTCTTTTACAGGTTTTAAGTATTTTGTGTTGTTTTTTAGATGATTACACCCATTATTTATGGGTCTATCCAATAAAACAGAAATCAAAGGTCTTCTCTAAATTTGTTCATCTTTTTTGTCTCATTCAAAATCAACATAATTCGACAATCAAAAATATTCAATGTGATGGTGCTGCTGAGTATATCAAATCTCATAATTTTCAAAATTTTCTTTCTACTAAAGGCATACATCTTCGCGTTTCTTGTCCATACACCCCTCAACAAAATAGAAAATCAGAACGCATGAATCGCACTCTTCTAAATATGGTCCGCTCTCTGCTCAATCAAGCTCAACTTCCCTCTCAATTCTGGGTTGAAGCTCTCAACACAAGTGTTTACCTCATCAATCGTTTACCTTCCAAAAGTATCTTTGGTTCTACTCCTTTTCAGCTACTCTACAACTCTTCACCAGATTATTCTCACCTTCGTGTGTTTGGATGCTCTGGTTATCCTAATCTCTCAGCCGTCGCAAAAAAAAAAGCTCAGTCCATGCTCTGTTGAGTGTATCTTTTTAGGTTATCCTTCGTCCTACAAAGGATACTGTTGTTATGATCCTCTCACAAAGAAAATATATCATTCCCGTCATGTTATTTTTGACGAATATACTTTTCCTCATTCCCATCTCATTTTCAATTCCATGACTCCATTTACCCCTTCTTATCCGTTTAAATTTCCTATTTTCTTGGCCCCAAAAAATATTCCCTTTTCAGCTATCTCCGCACAAAACCCTAATTCTGTCGTGTGTAACCCTAATATTTCCCTAAACCCTAGTTCTCATTCTCCTGCTTTAGTGAATTCCTCGCTTTCTCGTCAACCGACCAATGTTACTGAGGCTTCTTCTTCTCTACAATCCAGTCCGCCTCCTTCTCCACCTAGTGAACCATCTCCTCCTCCCCCACAACATCCTATGATCATCAGAATTGAGATGGAACCCGCAAACCCAAAATCCTTTTTTCCTTTTCCGTTACTACTGCTCCTTCACCTTTTCCTCATACTCCCACATCCTTTACCGAAGCCAACAAATTCCCAGAATGGCGTCAGGCCATGTCGGATGAGTACAATGCTTTAATTCAAAATAATACTTGGAAATTAGTTCCCCCCCCCCCTCCCTTCATTCAAACATTATTGATTCAAAATGGATTTATAGAGTTTAACTTAAGGCGGATGGCTCTTTGGATCGCTGCAAGGCATGTTTGGTTGCTCAAGGCTATAATCAACAACCTGGCCTTGATTACGATCAAACGTGTAGTCCCGACGTTAAACTCGTGACAATTCAGACGGTCTTAACTCTTGCAGCTTCTCTTAATTGGCCTGTCCATCAATTGGACGTCAAAAATGCTTTTCTTAATGGTCTTTTAAATGAGGTTGTCTACATTAAATAGCCAACTGGATTTGTTCATCCAGACCACTCTCACTATGTCTGTCGATTGAACAAAGCCTTATATGGCTTAAAACAAGCTCCCCGGGCATGGTTTCTTCGGTTTACCGATTTTCTGTTAAGTCAAGGTTTTCAACGAAGTCGTGCTGATTCCTCAATGTTTGTCTATAAATCTTGCCCTCAAATGGCAGTGCTTCTTTTATACGTTGATGATATTTTGCTCACTGCATCTAATTCTCTTCTGCTCAAATCTTTGATTCACTCCATGAAAGGCACATTTGCTATGACAGACCTTGGATCTATTAGTTAATTTTTGGGCATTTCTATTAACAAGTTTCAAGGTGGCTGGTTTCTTTATCAGCAAAAATATGCCGAAGAACTTCTCACTCATAGTAATATGCTCAATTGCAAGCCAGTTGCAACTCCTCTCTCTCCCAATTTTCAGTTTCTTTAGATGACACACCTTTGTTTCATAATCCCACCCTCTATCGTAGCATTGTTGGTGGTCTTCAATACTTGACTTTCAAACGCCCGGACATTCAGCATGTTGTTAACTTGGTTTGCCAACACATGCATAATCCTGAAGAAAAACACTTCCAAGCAGTGAAACGTATTCTACGTTACATCAAAGGTACGCTTGCTTTCGGTCTTCAGCTACCCAAAGGTCCTCTTGATCGGATTATTACATACTCGGACGCGAACTGGGCGGGTTGCCTTGTCACTCGCTGGCCCACTACTGGCTTTTGTGTGTTTCTCGGGCCTTCTCTCATGTTCTGGTCTTCCAAAAAGCAACCCACAGTATCGTGGTCATTGGCTGAATCAGAATATAGGGCCGTCGCTTCTGCTGCTGCTGAAATGGTTTGGTTAGAATATCTTCTGTTTGATTTATTCAGAAAACTTCAAAAGAAGCCTGTCATTCTCTGTGATAATGTGTTGGCCACATATCTTGCTGCAAATTCGGTAAATCATGCTAGAACCAAGCATATAGAACTTG